CAGAGGATAGAATCAGTAAACTTGAGAACAGAACAATACAATTTACCCATTACAAACAACAGAAAACAGGATAGAAAAAAAAAATAAAGATCCGAGGAACAAAAGATCTAACATTCATTTAATTGGAGTCCCAGAAGGAAAGGAAAAATTGGGTGGGATTGAAAGAGTACTTGAAAGAAATCATGGCTGAAAATTTACCAAATTTGGCAAAAGAAACCTACAGATGGAAATTGAAAGGCACAGGTACAAGGTTAATATATAGAAGTCAGTTGCTTTCCTATATACAAGCAACAAAGAAGTGAAATTGGAAATTAAAAATGCATTACCATTTATGTTAGCAGCCCCCAAAATGAAATACTTAGGTATAGGTCTGACAAAATATATACAAAATCGATATGAGAAAAGCTACAAAACTGGTGACCAAAATTAAAGAACTAAATAAATGAAGAGATATTTCCTGTTAATGGATAGAAAAACTCATTATTGTCAAGATATCCCACTTTGATCTATAAATTAAACACAATCCCAGTCATAATTCCAGCAAGTTATTTTGTGGATATCAGCAAGCTGGTTCTAAAGACTGTACGGAGAGGCAAAACCCAGAATAGCCAGCAGGAGATTGAAGGTGAAGCACACAGGAGACTGACCCTACCCGAGGTCAACTTAATTGTGAAGCTGCAGGTAATCAGGACAATGTGGCCGAGGTGAATGGATAAGCAAATAGGTCAGTGGAACAAAACAAAACCTGGAAACTAAAGGCAAATAAAAGTTATTTTACCTATAGGGAACCCCAGTTCAAACAACAGATGTCTTATCTGAAACCATGGGATCAGAGGAAGTGGCACAATGTTTTTCAAATGCTGAAATAAAACGAATTCTGTATCTAGCAAAAACTGTCCCTCAGGAATTAAAAGGAAATAAAAACATTCTCAAATGATGGAAAACTAAAAGAATTTGTTGCTAGCAGGCCTGCCTTTAAAGAATGGCTCACAGAAGCTCTTTTAACAGATAAATGATGAAGGAATGATGGAGAAAACAGAAATATGGATATATACAATAATAGAATCTTTCTCTTCCTGAGATTTAGCAGATATGTGGATTGAATCAAAAAATACAAAACCATCTGATGCTAAAAATGATATTTAAAGTAGGGAAGATAAAGCATCTAAGTGGAAGTGAGGTTTCCACATTCCACTCAAAGTGGTAAAATGTCATTACCAGTAATTATAAGTCACATATGTATAGTCTAATACTTAGTGTGGCCATCAAAGAAACTATACAAAAGATAAAAACAATATAAATAAGTTAAGATAGAATCTTAAAAAAGGTTCAAGTGACCCCCACAGGAAGGCAAAAAGAGAGAAACAGAAGGAGAACCGGTGAAACATGTAAAACAAGTAACATGTTTAAAGGTACTGTAAAACTTGACCTGACATTGTGGGTTGATATTCCTGGCCTTCCCCTTTCCGACCTTTCTAAATTTCCAGTAACTACTTGTTGCTCATTCACTAGAACACAGGGGATTTCAAATTAAAAACTGGTAAACTTTAATAGAAACAACAGAGGGGATGTGAAGAATAGAATATTTTCACATATTGCAGGTGCGAATGTGAATTGTTACAGCCTTTTGGAAAATAAATTTGGCAGCCTAGTTAACAATTAAAATTCGTGTTCCTTTTGGCCCAGTCACCTCCTCCTAAGAGCCTGTTCCTAGATATAGAAGCTCAAGTGAAGCCATGTGTGTAGGGGTATGTATTGCAGCAGTGTGCAGAATGCCAACCAACTGAAAACACAGTGGATGCTAGTAGGAGAAAGGCAAAAACTGAAATGATATCTCATAGATTGGAATATTATGCTCCATGAAAAAGGATGAATTTCATGGTCTCGAGAGTATGAAGAAAAATATTTAAGAATGCTTGTTAGTGGTTAAATGTTTATCTTGGCTGGAGGTAGGTGAGTGTACCTAAGAAGAATGTTCTTTAGTTGGCAAAAAAAAAAAGCCTGTGATTACATCTATTCATTACCTGTGAAATTATGTAAATGCACATGTTTAGTGATACTAAGTAAACATTTGAAATAGAAATAACATTTCTTTTTCTAAAAGTGATGCTTATTTGCAAATATCTGAACACATCCATGTGAAGTCCACAGAAATTCTTAGGAGTAAAACAAGCATAATAGGAAGCCATAAAATCTTGGAGGTAGGAGAGCCTAACACAAAGAATGAAGGAAGTGCACGCCCGTGTTTGTTCTCGCTCTTTCTCGCTCTCTAACAGTCACCAGTGGGGAATTCAATTACCCATAAAACTGGGGTGGTCTCTTTGGTTGGTCGGCGTTGCTCCTCAGGGACCTTTGCCTTCCTTTGATTTGTCATTCTTGGTGTTGGCTTTGTGTTCAGGCTGCAGTGCTTCCAGCTATAAAATCCAACTGCAGCAAAGTCCAGAGGGAGAAGAAGAATGTTCTCTGGATGTCTGTTGTCGGTAGGGTTTCTTGGAAGCATTTGCTGAGATGGAGTTTGGGGTACAAGTTGGTTATCACAACTGTGAGAGGAAGGGGTTGGAAGCAGCACTGGGCAAAAGAAGAAGAGCTTTAATGCAGGCCTGATCAGGGGGAGCTCTGGAGCAGGGATTGCTTGTCACAGTTGTTCATGTTGGATCAAAATGCCCCAGACTTTACATCTGCTCTGGTGGGGGCTGCCTGCAAGGCAGCCCCTGAAGGAACCGCCGACAGCTGAGGCCGTCTGATGACCACCCTGCCTGTTGCAGCTGGAGCAGGTCCTTCCTGGACAGGGAGATCTAAGCGGCACATCTCTGTCTACCACACTGTCTTTAAGAATCAGAAAATATTTCCCAGAAGTCCCTGATCAACCTCCCCTACATTTAAGTATTAGATTACATGTTGTAGCAAAGACTAATAATGACCCTTCATAGTTTTTCTCTACCTCTGTAGTAAAGAAAGTCCTGGTTTTCATTGGATGCATGGTCATCTGAGGTAATGGCTTTATTTCTCAGCCTCTGTATTTAGATTTGTCTAACTTTTGGATAATGGTTAGACTGAATTGTCAAGTTCAACTTGGAGGGGATATATGCCTGTTCCTGCTGGGTAGAATGTAGGAAAGACAGGTGGAGTTTGAGCAGCCCTCTTGGGTTATGAGGTGGAAACCACCTGTGGAGGATGACAGAGCAACAGAAGAATATTAGGTTCTTTTTTTTTTCTTTTTACTGATGTTCGAATACAGTTGTCTCCATTTTCCCACCACCACTTTCCCCTGCCTTACCCACTCCCGCCTCCCACCCTCAATCCCCAAATATTAGGTTCTTGATGGTCATGGAAGTGCTCTGGATTGCTTATCTTTGGACTTTATATCTCAGCTAAGTCATTACTGTGTAGGTTTTTCTGTCAGTTGCATTAGAACCTAATCTTAACTGATACACATTTCTAATCAATTACTAGCGGAGAACACAGGAAACCATGATTGTCTCAGACTACCATTTTGGGGGTGGAATAGATGTTGGGGAGTGAGACACAGACACTTTTGTATCAGTTAAGTGTAGCAGAAGGAGAGAAGGGTGAAGAAGTCAAGGGGTTTTTGGGGCATGTTAATTGTAAGAGAGCATGGGATCTTCCAAACTAGGGAAGTGGGAGAGTGAAATGTGTGGGTGTCGGGGGGTGAACGTGGAGAAGTGCTCGTTCGGTGGATTGTCAAGTTCAACTGAAGGTCCTTGTGGCGATGTCGACTCACTGGGAAGGAGAAAGAGGCTAAGTGAACTGCAGAGATAAGCGGTGGCAGTCAGTATAGGAGCGTTGGACACCTAAAATGAAGATTTTGGTGGTAGTGCTGTCACTGGTAATGACAAGACCCAGAGAAATGAGTAACTAAAATGGGGTGGAGGAAAGATTGTTAATGATGAAATTAAGAAGTAGAGAGTCTAGTTTTGGATGGAACACCTTGGATGTTGCTGTAGTTAAGTGGAAGGCAGTGAACTTGTTGCTGATGTGTTCAGTGGGTGAGGAGAAGTAACTGAGGTCTCAGTAGGTGTCTAAGCAACTGAGGGAGGCTGATCCAGAAGAGAGCATGGGTGTCAGAGAGGCTGACGTTGATGGAAGGGGGAGGGAAAATGACCTGGAAATAGCAGTGAGAAAAGAAACAACATTCTTCTTAAAGAATAAAAATTTCTGTATAACAGAATATACTAGACACAAAGTATAAAGAAAAAAGTAAACTGAGAGAATAAATTTAAGTACATTTAACATACAAATTGGAGCTCCTTAACATAAAAAGAGCTTTTAAACATTAATTTGAAAAGGCAGCTTGGTCCCAAAGTGGTCAAAGAATATAGAATCTAAATTCACAAAGGGGAAATGCAGATGGATAGAACAGTTGAGAAGGTTAAAACATTAGCGCTAGTATCAGTGAAAACATTAATGAAATACTGGGATATGTCTGTCTTAATGGAAGGACCTCAACACACTGCTGAACTTCAGGCTTGGCGTGAGCGTGGGAAGACAGGTGCTGATGCACACTGTCCATGGGGGGTTCAGAGATCGCCACTTCAGAAGCAGCAGCCTCGATGGCTGTGATGGATCTCGTGTGTGCAGCGGCATCTGATATGCTTGCCCATCACAGTTATGCTGTCTATAGTGCTATTGTATTAAACACTTGTAACTGTTACTATATGGCCTTATTTTTAAAAACCAACTCATATTTATAAATTCTTGTGTCCATTTTTATGGTACGAAGTACAGTTTTCCCATCTTATCTGGAAAGATTTAGATGTTTTTTGTTCATTGTGTTAGTTTTAGTATATTTGTCTCCTTAAGTGTATGTGTTTGTTTCATCTATATTTGTGTAATCTGAATATAACTCCAATTATTTTCTTCTGGTTATATATCAGTAGTATGCATTAGTATACTCACTGTGCTTAACTTGGATTGTATTGAGAATTAAGAAAGATGTTACTAATATATAAAATTTTGATGGATTTTTTTTTAAATTACAGACTAACTGGATCTTCTGGGTTTATAACAGATGGACCTGGAAATTATAAATACAAAACAAAGTGCACGTGGCTCATTGAAGGACCGTAAGTAGTAATGGCTAATTTAATTTAATTTTTTTCTGGACACAGCTCAGTGTGGCATTACTTTTCCTATAAGTAAAATGAACAATCTGTAGCATAAAGTACTTAGAATATTTTTTTGTTTCGTAACTTCTTAGTTTATAAGTAAATTTGACTTTATTTTTCTAAATTTCAGTGTTACTTAACAAAAAAAAATTGTGTTGATTTAAAGCTGCAGATGAAATTGTACACCAGAAATTTGTGTATTTTCAATTGTACTAACTAAAAAACTGTTGAGTATTTTAAATGGTTTACTTAAAGCATTAGACAATTGTAACATTGTGTCATTTTTCTGAGTACCTGTTTTTATTGTGGGGGGGAGTCGGAGTAGTTACTGTTGCCCAGCTGCCCCCTCCTCCGGGCTCCCACGGCCCTGCTCCCACAGCCTTGCAGCTGCTGCCTTCTTTTTCTGACCTTCAGCACACTGGCAAAGCGATGTTTCTCAGACTCTTTGGTCTAAGGACCCCGTTACACCGTTAAACTTGTAGAATTCCAAATAATTTTTTGTGTGTTTACCATATTAAAATTAAAATTAAGAAATATTTAATTTATTTTAAAAATAACAATAAACCCATGTGTTAGCACAAATGACATATTTTATGAAAAAAGAAACCCTATATTTAAAAAATAAATGGTTAGTGAAAGGAATGACATTGCTTTACATTTTTATAAATCTCTTCTCTGGATTTATAGAAGTCAGTTTTATTATTATATTTTCTTTTGCATTCACTTTGTTACCATGTGTTACTGGTAGAAGTATGTGAAGAAAAATAGGCTTCCCTTAATATGTAGTAGGAAAAGGGAAGGGGTTTTCATAGCCCTTTTAAATAATTGTGGATGGTCTTTGGTACTATACCCAAAACTTGACAAGTGGTAATTTCTTAAAAGTAAATTGTAGTATGGAATCAGAAACAATGTAAATGAACTTTTGGAATTTGTTACATTAAAATTAATTCATTTTCTTGTACTTTGAATGGATCTTTAACCTGCATAAAGGTGCACTGTTTTTGTAACATGATATGTGGGACATTTGGAAAATATTGGTTCACTGAATTATGCAGATCTCCCAAATGTTAATATATTTCATTATATAATATTTTAGTTTTTTTTTTAAGATTTTATTTATTTATTTTTAGGGAGGGGAGGGAGAGAGAGAGAGAGAGAGAGAGAGAGACATCAACGTGCGGTTGCTGAGGGTTATGGCCTGCAACCCAGGAATGTACCCTGGCTGGGAATCGAACCTGGGACACTTTGGTTCCCAGCCTGCGCTCAATCTTCATTATATAATATTTTAAAAAATCACATTGGGCTGTGGCCAGGTAGCTCAGTTGGTTAGAGTGTCATCCCAATACTCCAAGGTTTACAGGTTCAGTCCCCACTCAGGGCACATAGAAGAATCAAGTAATGAATGCATAAATAAGTGGAGCAACAAAAATAGGTGGTTCTTTCTCCCTCCCTCTCCTTCTCTCTCTCTCCCCCTTTCCCCCATCCCATTCCCCTTCCCTCCATCCCTCCGTCTCTCCAACCCCTCCCCCTCTCTCCCTCTAAAATCAATTTAAAAAATCACATTAGTTAGTATCACCATCATTCTCATCAGAAGTTTTAAATATTGGCAAGTTGTATTTGGTTGGCAGATCCCAGTTTTTCAGAGCTCTAATTATTGCTTGAAACTTCTATTTTATTTTTGGTAACAAATACTGCCGGTTATTTTCTTTGAAGTGACAGGCTTCCTTGGTTCATTTTCAAGAAAATATCTGCCATATATCCAGGCCTCAAAAATCATAATTTTTCAGTTGTTCTTTCAAGTAAAAATGATAAATGGTGTTCTAAAAGAAAAACAACAAGTTCAGCTCACAACTAAACAATTGCGAAAGTGATTTCCCTTGAAACCATTGTACTTTGTTAGGTAGCAGAAGTGCTTTATGCACACTTTCTGTCTTGTCATGCAGAATATTAAAAATATGTGCACTATTAATACAATTAGTAATTCTTACCATCTAATAAAGATGACCTTAAATGAAATTGTCATTTTTTTCTTTTTTCTATGAGGGACTGGTGGCAAAGAATAACAGTGATTACTAGTACAGTTTGGTGCTTCACCCACCATTGCTTTTGTACTGTTAGTAAATGCCAACATGGCGATAAGGCACATGATAGCTTAGTATTAATTGTTGTGAACAGTCATGACCTGTTGGGCCCCCTATAAGGGTCTCAGGGCCCCTGGCATTCTGTGGACATTACTCTGAGAACTTGTGGTCTGTTGTCTGCTCTTGTCATTTCTATCAGTTCACTCCCGTCTGGTGTCCTCCACCATTGCTCTGCATGCGATCTCAGTGGTTGCTCCTCCCCAGCCTAACCAGTAAATAACTTCTCCTTCCTCTTATCCTCACATTCAGTCTATTAGTAAGTTCTGGCCAGTTTCCCTCTAGAATATCCCCAAATTCATTTATATTCTCCTTTTCACATTGATCTCTACAATTATTTTAGGAACCACCATCCTTACCTTCCTGGGCCCCTGTAATAGCCTTGAAATTGGCCTTTTGATTTTCACTTTTGCCCCTCACCTACCTCTCACTTCTCATTTCATGTGGTTCCCTAATTTGCTGTTTGAGGCATGCTGCTTTTCTTCATATTGCGCCAGTACATGAAGTCGCAACTTCTTTCTTTCCCAGACTTTATGATGGTGCTCTTTCCTCTGTCTAAAACATTGTTTTTGAGCCTTTCACGTGGCTTATTATGTGTCATTCTACTCTCCTCCAGAGCTTTCTGGGGTATTTCCCCACCACCTGTTGTACTACCATATCATATTTCCTTTAATTTCTTCACAGTCGTCATCACCATCTGAGTTAACTTGTTTATGTATTTATTTAGTTGTTTGCTTAGAGAAGTTAGTTAGACAAATAAGTGTGAGGCAGAGGAAACATCTAGGCTGGAGACATATAATTAGGCATCCGCAGGAACTAAATGGTGTTGCTAATTCCAAGAGCTTTATGGGTGGAGTGTTGGAGCTGAAACCAGGTTGGAGAATGAAATGGTGAGTGGGATGAGAGGAAATGGAGAAAGTAAAGTCCTCTGTCGAGGTTCACTCTAGAGGAGAAAGGGATAGGACGGGCTAATAGCTAGAAGGAGAGTTGGGATCTGAAGCTTTTAATATTTTGGGGTTTTTGATAAAATACGTGATACTTAAGAAGATTTAAATATGGATGTGGAAGTTCCAGAAGAGAGGGAGATGGTAAATATTTGAGAGATAGAAGGAAAAGAAGGTAGATGTATGTTTTGGAAAATGGGAATTTGAGAGATTCTGGGGTGATTTTCAAAAGCAGGGAGGTGGGACTGAATGGGTTGAAATAGTAATTGAGAGTAACAGTTATGGGGAAGACTTATAAGAGAGGTAGTTGTAGGACTGCTGGCAGAATTGAAGGGCCGTTTGAAGTTGGTGAGCGGTGACCAGAACTAACTTTGTCAATGGTGTGACTTTTTTCTGGCATGGCTTAGTTTTCTTTGGATTCAGTCTAAGGCAAAGCAGATACCTGTTTTCCTCTAGACCAATGCTCTTGCCAGGTAGTTCTGTGAAAAGTCAGAAGGGCAGGTGAGTGTAGAGAACTGGCAGCTGTGTTTGTGAAATGGTGTGTAGTATGGAGTCTTCAGTTGGATAAGGAAGTGCAGAAATGGAAGGGCTAATGGATTGGTTCAGAGACTGTTAATGAATGGCCCCAGTATAGACCGTAAGGCCCGAAGAGGCATAGACCGTATCTATTTTGTTTATCATTGATTGCATGTTTAGTTGTCTTTTGCACATATGTGAACACTAAGTAAATCTTTGACAAATGAATACAGTTCACTATTAATTTCTTCTCTCCATAAATTCTTTAAAAATCTAGCTATATATTTTTTCAAATGTTTAATAGTTATAATTATTATAAATTACTTTTTTTTTCCAGGCCAAATAAAATAATGAGACTTCGCTTCAGTCATTTTGCTACAGAGTGTAGTTGGGACCATTTATATGTATATGACGGGGACTCCATTTATGCACCACTAATTGCTGCCTTTAGGTAAGCTCACTCATATAAGTAGTTAATCATACGGTTTCCGAACTCAAACGTATATCTCCTGGATTGTGTTCTTACTGACTCACCTTTATTATCCCTTAACACATGATTTCATGGAAAGAGTACTAGTTCTGGAGGCCTGACTTGGCTTCCTGTAGCCACTGGGTAAGTTTCTGGGCAGAGTGCCTGACCTCTCTTCAGCTTCCTGCCCTGCACAGTTGTGGTAGCAGCGTCGTTCATCTGCCCCTTGGGTGGTGAAGTTTACATTTTAAAATTGTTTTGTGAGTAATATATTGAATAATGATATTTCTGTGAAAAAATTAAATCAGGGATTACGTTCATCGTAATCCTTGTGTTCCCCGTCACATAGGCCTTCAGGAGGGATTTGTTGAATTCAGATATAGAGATGTGTGTGTATGTTTATGTATGTGCATTAATATGAGTGAGGGGAGATTTTGGGACAAATACACAGAAAATGAGCAGTGGTTATCTGAGGAAAATGAGGAGTATGCCAATTATGTATTGCAATTTTGTTTTCAATAAGTATATTCTACGTAGTAGTTAAAATAGCTTAATACCACATATATGTTCTGGATTGTTTTTGGCATTTTAGTTTTTATTAATGATACATGAATGTGTTGTCATCTTTTGGACCACATGGGAATTCAAATCCGTTCTATTTTTCTGCCTTTTACTTGATGGAAGACTTATAAAATAATATTTCTCTAAAATACACATCTCCTTAGAGAGCCATAGTTACCAGTTTTTCATCTGCAGCTCACTGTCTAGATATTTTTCCCTCAAATATTTTCTTTCCTTGACTTTAAATAGAAATCAATTCAACAAATATTTTTGTATTCCTCACATGAGACTAATCTCATGGGTGAGGAAGTAACAGTAAACAGTACACGAGTTGCCCAAGGGCACAGGGGACTAGTGTCCTTGTATTTCTTCCCTCCCTTTGGCTTAGAAATCTCTCTTACATATCTTTGAATTAAGAACCATTTTCAAAGATGCACTTACGAAGCCAAACAGCAGGATGGCTAGGCCATGCTAAGCATTAAAATGGCATTTGCTGAGTGCTGTGCCATGCATATCTTTATGCGAGAGTTTGAAGCCTACTTTGCATTATAGCAAGAGGCACACCAAACTTTAGCATAAGCCCCAAAACTGTCTATAGCATGATGTTATCATCACAGTACTTGTTGGGGGTTCACTTGATACTGAGTTTGTTAATCCAAATTAATGGAGTCCCTATTATGTACTGGGCACTTTGAGTTGGCTTGCCATTAGCTGTGCGAACTTCTGCCAAGCAGGTGTACACCATCAGTTCCGCGTTCCCCTGGACTGGGTATTTGATGAACAGACATGTGAATCAGCAGCAACAGTAAAACAAGCAGAAGGCTGGCATTGTTCTAATTAACAACTTTAGAGAGAAGCCAAAGTATATGTACAGATACCAAGAGAAATTTTAGGTTTCTACAAAATAAAGTTGGTTAACAATAGTACAAATTAATCCATTGATTATGTTAAAGTTTCATCTGTGGCATAATATTTGAGCATGACTTTTTGGAAATTATAGTGGGGAAAGATATGTTTTAAAACTGAAATTTACTTGAAACACAAAGCCTCTAAAGCAGAGGTATGCAAACAAGTTGGAAACCACTGTTTAGGCTGAAAGGCCCTGTCACAAGATGGGGAGCTGAGGGGTGCCGTTGAGCCTGGAGGACTTGACTAGAGGAACAAGCCAGTGGTGATGTCCTGGGGGACTGGAGTGGAAGGAGCCTATAGGCAGATTGTTCAGCTAGTCAAGGAAGGAAGAATCCCACAGGATTCAGAAGATATAGAGTTTTCCTCCAAGTTCTGCTCCAGCCTCCGTGTGCATTTGCACAGGTCATTGAAGTGCTCTAGACTTCAGCTTCTAAAACCTAAAGTGGAGGTGTTGCACTGTGTTTTTTTGGGGGGGGGCCATATTGCAAACTGTGAAGTTGAATTTGACTTCAAACTGGTTGATCACATTTATCTTTTATATATATTGAAGTTCTGAATAAAATTGTGTTTAATAAGCACAGTTCCACTACGAGACAACTTGGAGGACCACTGGAACCAGTCTCTTCCAACTCCACAGCACTGTGACTTGGTGGTACATTCACTCCGACAGATGCACAAACGAAGCACCACTGCGGAGCAGCTGTTCTGCTAGGATCTGTTGCTAGGGAGACGCAGAGGTGGTAGTGGTGATGAAGCAGTTTTACTCTCTGAGAGCATTGTTTAAAAGAACACTATTGCTTTTAGAGATTTTTTTTTAAGAAAGTCAAATGTTGCTGAGGCCAGGCAGTTGTTTAGACTGAAGTGAAGAGCTGTTTAGAAGAGGCCTTGTGAAAGTGGGAGTCAGTCAGTCTGTCCAGCACCCAACTGAAACTGTGGTCAGATTATGGCACAGTTAGAAAAGTAGTGAAAGATTTGTATTTATTTATTTTTAGAGAGAGGGGAGGGGAAGGAGAAAGAGAGGGAGAGAAACATCAATCGGTTGCCTCTCCTACACGCCCCAACTGGGGACCAAAACTGCAATACAGGCATGTGCCTCGACCAGGAATCAGACTGATGACCTTTCGCTGTGTGGGACAGTGCCCAACCAACTGAGCCACACTGGTCAGGGTGAGGAGCATATAGTCTTGCAAGGAGACAGGTGTGTCAAAAAAGGAGTACTAGTACACTTATGTAATGTAGTTTAGGAGTGTCAGACTCGTTTTCACTGGGGGCCACAGCAGCCTCACAGTTGCCTTCAAAGGGCCGAATGTAATTTTAGGACTGTATAAATGTAGCTACTCTTTAACTAGGGGCAAGGAGGTCGGTGCTGCCACTGGTTAGATACAAGATGCCAGGCTGGATAAAACAAGGTGGAGGGCTGGGTTCTGCCCGAGGGCCTTGTGTTTGCCACCTGTGGAGGAGTTGGTAAAGACTGGTTGTGTCGTAGGTGTATTCAGAGAGCCCTTGTCTGTCTGGGACAGTTATGGTGAATTAAAATATTTTAGTTACGTGATTTTCAAAAGTGGTTCTAAACAATTAAAAACTCTGTGTTTAAAATACAAGATTATGAAGAAACCCAGGCTACAAGTGGAACAACTGGCTGTGGCCTAAGCGGCGTCTGCGTTTATCTGTCTGCTGGGGCAGGGGATAGGGAGGTGCAGGGCAGCTCAGGATGGAGTCGAATGGACGCCTGCAGCGTCACTTCCTCACCCACACACTTTCCGTTGCCTTCCACACTGGGTAGAGGCTGTGTTTGTGTTCATTTACTCTGTAGAAGCTTATTTTTGTTGTAAACTAGTTGTTTTATTTTTACACTAGGAGAAAGGAGCACATTCCAGAGGTGTCACAATTTCAAGTTTTTGAAGTGAAAAGATGCAAATGCCTAAGTTCCTCTGACAGTTGGGAAGCTGGTCCCTTGTCTAGTATCGTGGTTGTCCAGTGCAGATGGTCCTCCCATCCCTTGTGTGACTGTCATGTGTTCTCCCTACACCCATGCTGCCATTTGTCCTGCACGCTGGAGTGTCCCCACCACACATAAAAAATAAATACCATTAGCTATCACTTATTGAGCACCTAGTGTGGGGCACTGCTTAAGCACTTCACATGTTCTAACAGCTTGATTCTCACTGCATCACTGTGATGAAGATAGGATTTCTCTCATTGTGCATTTGAGGAAACTGAGGCTCACGGATGTCGGCGACATGCCCAGGCCTGTGGAACAAAGATTGGAGGTCACATCTCTGATCCTGAAGCTCATGGTAGGATAACAGAGTGCAGGGTCTCCCACGTGTGACAGAAGTTCCCCGTCCTTTTCTGTGCCAGTTTCTCATGGGAAAATTGCTTTTGACAAACCCATTTCTAGGTGGCCCTGCTCTTGTAAGTACCTGCTCCTTCAGCATTTTAGGGGGTTTGGGTGCATGAAACTGATGGAAGCGTGATGATGGTTGAAACCTTTTTTTTGGTTTCTGATCAAATGTCACCTCTTCCAAGAGGCCTTCCCTGTCTGCTCTGTCTAAAGTAGCACCTTTTGTCCTTTTACTTTGCTCTATTTCCCTTCATAGCATTTCTCTCTGCCTGGCATTACATATACACACATGGTGCAGAAGGGGAGGGGCTGCGTCTAGGCCTATTTGTTGTTTTCGGAAGGTGAACTCCCTGAGGGCAGGGACTTCTTCACTGTTGTATTCTCAGTGCCTTCCTAGGTGCCTCATATGTAAGTGGAACAAATATAAATAGTAGTAAAATTGGTTAGTTGAATATATACGAGAAAATTCTTCACTGTTTTGTAACCTCTGGAGCACCTTCAGTGTCCTTGGGTTCCTAGCATTTTGTCTTCGTATTAAAAACATTCATTGAGCCCTGGCTGGTGTGGCTCAGTGGATTGAGCGCGGGCCTGCCAACCAAAGGGTTGCCAATTCAATTCCCAGTCACGGCACACACCTGGGTTGCGGGCCAGGTCCCCAATAGGGGGCATGCAAGAGGCAACCACACATTGATGTTTCTCTCCCTCTCTTCCCCTTTCTCTAAAAATAAATAAATAAAAATCTTTAAAAAAATACTCTCATTGAATAAAACTCTTGTCCCCTTCTCCCCCTCATACCCTGCTTATGTATTCTTCCAGTCATTTCCATGTGAACTTAAATACATAAATGTACACATATACTAGGCCTATTGTTTTGCAGCTGCCCCTGCCCCCACTTATCAGAATGCCTTGATGAGGCTCCTTGTTAGTCCTGCAGACCTACGGAGATGTAATGATTCATTCAACCAACTCTCTGTGGATGAGTGTATATAGATAGGTAGGTGGTTTTCAACCTATTGACATTTTAAATAGTGTGGTAGTGAGGATTCTCATGCATTGTCTTTGTGCACTAAAGCAAGTGTTTCTTTTACAAATAAATAGAATTGCTACATCACAGTGAATGAGCATTTAACGTTGTTATAGGCCCTGAGGTGGGAGTTCACCTGGTGTGTGCTCTGGGAGAGCAAAGAGGCCAGCGTGCCAGGGGTCAAATGGGTGAAAGGAAGAGAATAATGGGTGAGGTGTTTGTTCTTGGGTGGTGTCCTGTGTGTGTGGAGCAGACTGCATAGGGCCTGGAAGGATTAGGCTTTTTACTGAGTGAGGTGTTTGTGTTGGTGACAGTGTCTCAATAATTGGGCAGAAGATGTGAGCATATGGAAGTATGCAGAAGGCAAGTAAACATGGGAAAAATGATTTACATCGTGAGTATGAAAGAAACTCAGGATCAGAATTCAAAAATCACTTTGCACTTATTAAATTAGCGAAGCTGAAATAGGACTGGTAACCTTACTTGTTGTCTGAGAAAGGTGGGATTGACCCTTTCATTCCTTACTTATGGGATTTCAAGTCAGCACGTGTCTTCTGGAGAGCAAGTTGGTATTATGGGTCAGGAACCTTAGAGGCATCATTTAGACCCTTTGACTTGGTACTTCTTTCCCTCTCCAGGCACCCAGCAAGTATTTTTGTGTGCTCAAGTCTGAGTGAGACAAGGAAAGTTCTGAAGGAACTTTAGTGGCATGGGAGACGCTTATAGTGTATTACTGGTGAAATGGAATATAAGCTGTAATCTGTTGCCAGTTAGGCAAAGAGAATACATCAGAATGCTAATAGTGTTGGGATTATGGGTGTTTGTTTACCAAGCCTACTTACTTGTATTTTTACTTTTTATATATTTGACAAAGTTTGTTACTTTCTGTAATTATATTGAAGGTTCACTCAATTTTTCATAGAAGCAATATCAAAATTTATATTAAAAAAAGAACAGGGCCATTAATTTCAAATCTTAATAGAAATATAACCCAGAATAGAGGAGAGCCTAGCAAAAGACTCAGATCTGTTCCTCAGAGGACCCAGAGCTGAGAGGGTCGTACCATGCACTTATCACAGGAAGCTCCCCTCTTCCTGGAAGTGGCTTTTTAAATCATAAGGATGAATTCCAGCTCTGAACTTGTGTTTGCCGCTGTGTGATGTGTCTGTGATTGTTTCCCTTCATAAGAAATATGTTTCCATTTCAGTGGCCTCATCGTTCCTGAAAGAGACAGCAACGAGACTGTCCCTGAGGTGGTTGCCACATCAGGTTATGCCCTGCTGCATTTTTTTAGTGATGCTGCTTATAATTTGACCGGATTTAATATCACTTACAAGTAAGATATTTATGTCTAATATTTGTGATTTTATTTAAAAGACTGTATACTTTGTTTTAACAGTAATAGTCACATACAATGAGGGCTTACAGTGTGCCAGACATTGTGCGAAGCAGTTCAAATGTATTTTCTTATTTAAAGTTTTTTTTTTAAGACTCTGACATGTGGGCACTGTTTTTCTACTCATTTTGTCATTGAGGAAACTAGTGGGAAACAGTCAAGTACATTGTCGAAGTCCTGGGGCCACAGTTTCAACCCAGATCTTGCTGCTGTTGAGCTTCTGGAAGAGAGGGGTATTTTCTTGCTAAAATGGATTAAAACATTGGGGATTTTTTGCTAAGTATGATTTAACAAATACTAGTAATTTTCATATACTCAGTGGTTGGACCACTGGTGAGAACTTAGTTGAGGTTACAAAGGAAACGTAGACAGACAGACTTTGGCAGCTTGTGGAATTTGTTGTGATAGGAGGAGAGAGGCTCACTTTTCATAAGTAGTTAAATTCATAAAGTGTCATAAGTGAGTGGTGTGTGATAAGAGCTTCTGTGGCCCTTAAAGCCTAAAGTACTATTTGGCCTTTTACAAAGTAAGTTTGCCAGCTCCTGGCATAGGCAGTCACCTCCTATGTAACCTTTATGTGGGGTTCTTTCCCTGCCCATTTTCTCATGATCTCAATATTTATTCAGACTGATTTAAAGCCTTCTCTATCTTGATTAGTACGGTGATTCAGTCTTTCAGGCGCCCAGGGTGTGTGACTTGGCAGCCTAGGCAGCTTATCACAGTATTAGCAAGATGATTGTTAGTGACACAGGCAGGCTGGGTTGAGGGGAGAGGCTCATGAGTTTGGCTGGGTGCGTATGAGATGTCATCTGGGAATCGCTGGGACGTGGACAGTGCCTGACTAGCCTATGGGGCATGTGCACAGTGAAGAGAGGAATAGTAGAGGCAGTTAAGGGGCAGAGGAATGCCAGTGGGCTTTGTTGTCACACAAGCCCAGAGAAGAAAGTCTCAAGAAGGAGGAAGCTGACAGAGGGTTGCTTAAGCAGAGGACGCCCTAGGTTGCCCTAGCTGGGGAGGTTGGAGTCCAGGGCCTGGTAGGGATGGAAGATTAGAAAGTCATGGCTTTAAGAATGGACACTCTAAATTTCTTCCCTGCAGGGGAGGGGAGAAAGGGGAGATGTGGGTTTAAGGACAGGGCTTCTCAAACTTTACATGCACAGGGATCTTCTGGAGGGCTTATTAGGGCACATCCCTGGGATCTACCCAGAGATTGTAGTTCAGTAGAGCCGTGGCCTGAGAATCTGTATTTCTGAATAGCTCCTGGCTGCTGCTATCTCTCTGTGGTCCACACTCTGAGTAGCATTGCACTAGCTATTCATGTAGGCCCCATTCTGGGTAGGTTCCTAGGTCAGGGGCTAGAGGGCACAGTCTTCACTGTTAAATGGGGCCTAATAGGCAGTAGTAGCCTTGGGGGAGAAGAGAAACTCAAGGGAGTGAGCACCCCAGGAGAGAAGGCAATTCAAGCACCCCTTGACATTGGAAGCCCTTTGCTCATCATCACTGGAGAGCTCTTCTTGCTCTATTGCCAGTATCTTCCTCAGGAGTGCATGTTTTTCTTACCCTGACTGGAGTAGGGAGAAGCCTTGATCTTTCCTAGAGACCAGAATTAGTATTTGTTAAATGAAGGAATAATGAGGTTATCATAAATTTTATTAGCTTCTTGGCTCCAAGGCTCTATTCTATTCTTTAAAAGGAATCATAAACTATTTTAGAGGTCTCAGGCCCTATGAAAAGCCAAATAAAATGATGGTTTTTATCCCAGAAAAATGCCCAGAAGCACATACATAAAACACTGTCATTCATTTTCCTGGGGTCCTCAGGTTGCACTGAATCTTAGCTTGGGCCTAACAGCAGCTGGAGGGCCCTTGGAGCGTGCACCCACAGATTCCCAGGTGTTTTCTAGTTTTCTTTTAAAAGAAGAAAAAACAAATAGTTACATTTTACTTTTACACAAATTGGCACTGTACCTTATTTCTCACTCTGAGTCATATTTTAAACGTAGAAAGTTAGGCTAATTTTCTTACTACTTCAACAAGCAGACATTTTGATATATTACTGGCCATTTTTACATTTTAGAGATACAAAAATAATTTTTGTGTTTTGAGATGTTACGTAATTCACGGCTCTAAAAAGTGCTCAGTATTAATTTTGGCACTTCAAGTAAACCTATGCCTAAAGGCATTTGAGTGGAGAGGTTGAAGTGTAAGGAGAACTTGAAATTATACTTACCCTCCTTTAGTTTAGAGGCTGTATGAGTTACCTCTTCCTTTTTGTTTTTCAATAACTATTAAGTGTTGGTTATGTGCTGTTCTCTCGTGTGGTTAATACGTGTGTCCGTAAGAAGATATTCAACATATGCTTGGTATAAGGCATAGGTTTGAGCACATGATGGAACTGCCTTACCTTGCTTTTCTTTTAGGCCTTTTATGAAAATGAAGTGTGACTGTTGTGGCTATTTGAGTATAACAAGTCCAATCTGAAATTTAGACTTTCCCTTTATAAACTTTTGCCCTACAAGGCCTTTTTCTTAATAAAGATGAAATCTTTATTGACCTTTATTGAAGCTTTACTTGTGTGTATGTATTAGGAACCGCTTTCTGGAGACCTACAGGAATGTCATTCAGCTTTCTTACCAAATTCTTCACTCTGCTTACTAGAACTTGAAAAGTAGGCAAATTCAGTGATCATATTATAATATAAATGATAAAAATACTGTGTACAAATATTTACAAAATGTTATTATAAATATATCATAAAATGATAGTTGGGTATAAACATGAAAATTAATTAGCTTGTTTTTGCAACCCTTTCCTGATATTCTGACATGTTTTGCTATAAAATTTCTTTTTGGTTTTCTTTATAGATCTTAGAAGAAATCTGTACTCTTAAAGTATCTTGATAGTTCAGTTATCCTCCCCCTTTTTACAGTTTGACTTATGTCTTTTCAAAGTGCTGTCAATACAGTTCTCTTAAGTCAGGTTATTATGAGACATATTATAGTTAAACTCCTATATTAAGTTAAACTGGCCTTTTCTTCCATCTGAAGTGAGTAGATACACTTACTAAGGAATTTTAAATACACCAATCTGGGCAATAATCTTTAACAAATTATTTAAATTTTCAGAAACCATCCAGAGGGATATATATACCATCAGATGTTAGTTATTGTTTGCAGTTCGTTTGCCCTTTTCCTCTCCAAACTTGCAAGTATGCATGTGGCAGTTTTGTAATGCTCATCATTTGTGGGCTACCAGGAATAGGATAGTCTTGCCACACTTGAGAAGCAAAGCCTGGACATTTTGCAAGAATCTCTTCTCTCTTTGTAATTTTTTAAACTTGTCTCTTCTTAAGAGAATCCAACAAGTTCAGTTTAATTTCATTACTTGCCCTAGCAGTGCAGTGTTGGGTGTCCCCATTTAGGCTGAGTGGTAAGTACTGCAGCTGGCTTGGGAATGGAGAGACAGTGACATTCTTAAACCTTCTGTAGGAGGAAGTTCTGCTAAATTATTCCAAGTGTTTCTTTGTTCTGATTTAATTTTCTCCCACTGTTTTTATAGTTTTGACATGTGTCCGAATAATTGCTCAGGCCAAGGAGAATGCAAGATCAGCAACAGCAGCAACACCATCCAGTGCGAATGTTCTGAAAACTGGACAGGTGAAGCATGTGACATTCCCCACTGTGTAAATAACTGCGGTTTTCCTCATCGAGGTGCCTGCAACTCCAGTGATGTCACAGGGTGTTCCTGTTTCTCAGGGTGGCAGGGTAGGAACTTCTTTCATTTTTCTTTGAATTTACAGTATATTTCTAGTTTAATAACTTGTAATCGACTTTATTTCTAGCATCCATACCTTCTCTGTTATTCACATGCCAGGTAGTGTTTAGGTTTTCACATCTCTTTATTGAGCTTCTTAGAAATCTTTGAATTTCATAGGTGTGTGGTTGTGGTCTCTTTAGAATGGGGAGGGGTTTGACATTCTTTGCAGTTCATTCAACTTGGTCTTAGCTGTAAGAAGACATAGCAGAGAGCCAAGCTGGGAGGTGGGACAAGAGCTGACAATGATAGTGTCTCCTCGGAAACTTTCACTGTAGAGTAGAATTCTACAGTAGTCAGCTGATGGAGTTATCTGCAGATAAAAATTATTAAAGAAGCTTTAGCAAATTCTTTTTAGGGGTGTGTGATAACAGTGATACTGATTTAGTGATTTTCTTTATACATTTATCTCTTCCTCAGACTACTTTTTTTGTGAAAGGAAATGTGCTTGTTTAAATGCTTTGTTTGTTTGGTTTGGCTGAACTCAAGGAGGTAAATAATTGAAGTATTTGAGTACCTGGCGCCCGTGCAAATGTTGCAACAAAGGCCAAATCTCCCAAGAGTAGAGTTTCTTGATTTTCTAGGAAACGGGTAGCTTGTATTATTACTCCTGGGACTAGTCTTTACATTTTAGCTTTAAAGGTTTTTTTTTCATTTGAATTAATCCCTTTGTTCTCTGAGGGCTGTTCATCATTAAAAAGTATGTGATTTTGAATTTTATGAGAGATTATTGTTGGTCTCTAGCTTTGAGTAAATTAAAAGCATAAATTGAAGGGATTTGTCTGATATCTAGATGCTAAAGGGGGAAAGACTGAGTATTGTTTAGACATTTGTTACATTTAAAAGATTAAACTTGAAATGCAATAATATAAAAGCTGCATTTTGTGAAGCTAATTTATTACATTTTATTAGGTCCTGGATGTTCAATTCCTGTTCCGGCTAACCAGTCATTTTGGACACAGGAGGAATATTCTAACCCCAAGCTGCCCAGAGCCTCTCACAAAGCTGTGGTCAGTGGAAACATCATGTGGGTCATTGGAGGATACATGTTCAACCACTCAGATTACAGCATGGTTCTGGCGTAAGTTGTTTCAAACGCTTTTGCAAGAGGCTTAGCTTTCCATTTTGAAAATGTATAGAGATAAGCAAAAGGAAAAGAATTCCATTACCCTGTGGAAAATCTCTGTTAATGTTTTGGTAGTAGTATTCCAGACTTTTTTTTTAACATATCCTTAGTTTTTGAAATTGGGAGCTACAATGAATTCATTGTAATAAACAATAATGCATCTTTTCCAGATATTGTCTCTCATTGTTTTGCTTTAGGTACAAATAATAGGTTCTACATAAATAGAGGATTACTTTATCTCTTCATTGAATTAACATATCTATAGGTCAAATGTTTGAATGTATAGTTTACTAGTGGAAATTATGTCATTGTCTAATACTTCCCAGAGTTCAAGGTCAGTTTGCTGGCCTCTTGACACTCATCTTGAAAGGAGGATATATGTTATCATAGTGGAATTAACTATGGAGATTGACTTTTGGGACAAATTTAACAACACTTATGCTGATTTTGTGTTGGCAGTGTTTTTAGGCAATGAAGGTTGTTAAAAACTATCACCTGTTCTTTAAGGGATTTTGGAAATATGGCAGTGGTGGCAGAGTTTCTGAACCCCCCCCCCATGGCCCCCAAATAAGGTCATTAAATTGCACTGAACAACTACGAGACACACACAAACACATGGGTCACAAATAACAAAACTTGGTGAGAGCTACACAGATGGGGAGGGCTAAACCAATGGCAGCTGCAAAACCTGTGCGGTGTCACCATCTGTGTGGGAGTGAGCGCAGGGGAGCAGTGAGTCCACCCGCAGAGTTCAGTGCTCCCAGAAGAGACTCACTGGGAAGTGCAGCCAGCTATTTGAAAATAGCAGCTGGAATTGGAGAGATTTTTGCATATTCTAGTAATGCAGTAATTTCAGGGGATCCGTGGTAGGATCTGAAGGGGCTGGAGCAATTTATGACTTATTAACTCTCAAAATGAACCAGCTGAAGTCTCTTTACAGGAGAAAGTTCCACACTGAGAAGAAACTGCTGGGAAGAGAATTCAGATTGAACAGGATAAGGGCAGTAGAGACAGTTTCAAACACTGGACTACAGTGGAAGGGGGAGCTAGAGAGCTGAGAAATTAGAAAACTATCCCAAACAAAGCCTTTCCTGTAAAAATACAGGAAAAAGTAATTTTACTTAAAATTGATCAAGAGAAAAACATCACAGTCAGATCTCATAGAAAGTTATTAAGAGCAAAGAGAATAAGGAGTAGAATGCACCTTTTCATACCTGAAAGACAGCAGAAAAATATGTTCATAAAACTGATGAAAATTATAATATTCCAAAGCAAACTAAAATACAGTAAGAAAATGACAAAAGACATCAAAGAATAATGTAATCATAAGAAGAAAAATTCACAGGTGATAGACATTAGGAAAGAATTCTAAAATAATTTCAGAACTGAAGACAAATCTAAAAGGAACACAGAGTAAATGAACACAACAGATACTCCTTTAGAAATAGAAAAAGGAAATATACAAGCTCATAAAGAAGTGAAGGTCTCTTTTTCCTGTTCTTTGTGGTAAGCACAGTTAAGAATGCTGGAAATTATCTATAAAACAAATATGAGAAAACTGAAAGATAGAAAGAGGAAGGCAGTCTGGCTAGGAACCTCTGGACCCAAAAAATGACATACCAGTAGGCTCCAAGGGCTTTTTTCTTTGTCTCCTGTATCCAAGACTTGATGTTAAAAAATTAGTAATCTGGAAATGCCAGTAGGCACGTGCTGAAAAAGCCCCAGAAAAAACCTGTTTTATCTAGACCAAGGACAAGGAAGGTGGCAGCTTATTAGCATGGCAGAAAACTTTTATACAGTAACCCCTCTGCTACTCTAGCCAGATACCACAGAACTGGGGCTCTACCCAAACCCCTGACAGCAAAGTCTGAGGGGAGACTCTACATTTCCACCCTTGCCAAGACCTACTGTGTTCTAACTCCCCTGGTAGGATGATGGTGTTAGGGAAGGCCAACTAAGGAACTGGGACTTTTTTCATCAGATACTTGTGAGGACTCCACCCCTGTGGTATCAGTGGAGACTTTGTAGGAAGCCTGGACTGCCCCTGTCATCTTGCAGTAAGGGCAGTAGTGAATCAGCCTTCTCCCTTCCCACTGGATAAGTGTCAGGGAGGCCTGCCCTAAGATTTACATAAGGTCCATCATCTCATGTCATGATACCCAGAATGTGCAGATTTCAGTTGAAAATTATTTGTCATGTTAACAGCCAGAGAAATCTAAACTTGAATGAGAAAAGGCAATCAAGAGACACTGACACCAAAATGACACAGTTACTAGAATTATGCTTTAATGAGTATTATAGAACTCTTGAAACAAATGAAAAATAGTCTCACCAAAGACACAGAAGATATAAAGAAAAATAAAAAGGTAAATTTTAGAATTGAAAAATAACCAAAATAGCCCTGGCTGGTGTGACTCAGTGGATTGAGTGCTAGACTGCTAACCAAAGCTTTACCAGTTCAGTTCCCAGGCAGGGCACATGCCTGGGTTGTGGGCCAGGTGCCCAGTAGGGGGTGCTTGAGAGGCAATCACACATTGATGTTTCTCTCTCTCTCTCTTTCTCCCTCCCTTCTCTGCTCTAAAAATAAATAAATAAATAAAATCTTTTTTTAAAGGAAGAAAAAAAAAAGAAAAATAACCAAAACAAAAATCTCAGTAAATACGTTCAACAGCAGAATGGAAAGGACAGAAGAAAAGAATCAGTGAACTTGCAGACAGAACAATAGGGATTTCTCAGCCTGAACAGAGAGAAAATAGAATATTAAAAAAAAATGAATAGAACCTCAGAGACCTGTGGACTATTAAAAAAACAAAAACAAAAACAGCAACCTTAGGATTTTTCAAGACTGCAGTAGAGTAGGTAGACCCTGAACACACCTCGGCCAGGACCAAACTAGAAATACAACTACACTGAGGGACAGTCACCCTGAAAAACTAACTAAAGACTAGCTGGAGAGGACTCTTACAATGAAGGAAGTTGCAGAAGTAGCTACATCAAGACTGCTTTTCTTTTTTGTCAGCACCTGCACAGCAGTTTGCACACTGTGGTCAGGGTTGTACCTCAAGGTCTGCCAGACTGAGGGTTGATCCTATGCATGGACAGGCCAATAGCAGTCAAGACTCAATTACAATAGAAGAGCCCATATAACTCACTCAAGGGACATTCCTAGAGCACCCAACCCAGGAGATCAAGGAGATTGCACCTCTGGGTCCCACAGGATACCTACTACATCAGGCCACCCACGAAGACTGGGAGTCATAGCAGATCTGTCTGATACATAGAAACAAATACAAAAAGACAGCCAAAATGAGGAGACAAAGAGACAGGCCCCAAATGAAAGAACGGGAGGAATCTCCAGAAAAAGAGGTAAATGAAATAGAGGCAACCAATCTATCAGATACAGAATTCAAAGTAATGGTTGTAAGGATGCTCAAGGAACTTAGTAAGAACAACTTCATGAAAAAGGACATAGAAATCATGAAAAAGAACCAGTCGGACATGAAGAATACCATATCCAACATCAAGAATACACTGGAAGGAATTAAAAGTAGTCTGGATGAAGGAGAGGATTGAATCAGCAATTTGGAAGATAAGGCAGAGAAAATACGTAATCAGAACAACAAAAAGAAAAAAATTAAAAAGAATGAGGATAGTTTAAGGGACCTTTGGGACAACACGAAGCATAACAATATTACCAGAAGGAGAGGAGAAAGAACAAGAAATCGAGAACCTATTTGAAGAAATAATGAATGAAAACTTGCCTAACCTGGTGAAGGAGAAAGGCACCCAAGTCCAGGAAGCGCAGAGAGTCCCAAACAAGATGAACACGAAGAACCCACACTAAGAGTCATAATTAAAATGCCAAAGATTATAGACAAAGAGAGAATCTTAAAGGCAGCAAGAGAAAGGCTGATTAATTACCTACAAGGGAGCTCCCAGGAGACTGTCAGCTGATCTCAACAGAGACGTTTCAGGCCAGAAGGGGTCGGCATGAAATATTCAAAGTGATGAAAAGCAAGGACCTACAACCAAGATTATTTTACCTAGCAAGGCTATCATTTAAAACTGAAGAAGAAATAAAGAGCTTCCCAGACAAGAAAAAGCTAAAGGAGTCTGTTACCACCAAACTAGCGTTACAAGAAATGTTAAAGGGCCTGCTTTAAGAAATAGAAAGAAAATAGAGAAGGAACAGTTAAAAGAACAAAATGGCAATAAATATGTACCTATCAATAATCCCTTTAAATGTAAGTGTGTTCAGTGCCCCAATCAAAAGACATAGGATAGCTGAATGAATAAGAAAGCAAGACCCACATACATGCTGTCTACAAGAGTCCCACCTCAGAACAAAAGATTCACACAGGAACGGAAGAAGATATTTCATGCAAATGGAAATTTTAAAAAGCTGGAATAGCAGTACTTCTGTCTGACAAAATAGACTTTGAAACAAAGGCTATAGTAAGAAACAAAGAAGGACACAACATGATGGTAAAAGGAACAATCTAACAAGAAGATGTAACTCTGGTGAACATTTATGCACCTAACACAGGAGCACCTAAACATGTAAAGCAAATCTTGATGGACATAAAGGGAGAGGTTGACAGTAATACAGTGGAACCTCAGTTCTCAGACTTAATTCTTTCAGTAAGGCTGTTTGTGAAGCAATGTTTTCAAAAACCAAGTCAACTTTGTCGCCTGAGAGGTGCATGACTGTTCACACAGGTATCAGCATGAGTGGTTTGTTAGGTGGAGAACTGAAGTTTTATTCAACAACTGAGACATTTTTTCCATGAACAAACAACTTGGTCAAGAACCAAATTGTTCAAGATGGGAGGTGTTCAAGAACTGAGGTTTGACTGTACAGTCATAGTAGGGAATTTTAACACCTCACTGACATCAGTGGATGGATCTTCCAGACAGAAAGTCAGCAAGGAAACAGCGGCCTTAAATGACACACT